GTGTGTGTGTGTGTGTGTGTGTGTGTGTGTGTGTGTGTGTGTGTGTGTGTGTTTCAGGCGTCTTCACCTGTTGGGTTTCTGCAGTACTTAAAAACGTTAGCAGCAGGAGGGGCAAAGGGGCATTTTGCAAGAGGAAAAGGGTAGGAGCAGCGTGGGTAAGGAGGGACGAGTCACGTTTCAAGGATGGGAGATTTGCAGGATGCAGGTGCCCCACGATGGGTGCGCCTCAAATCTGGGACCTCATGGACTGATCAGGCCATCAGAAATACAAAACGGATTTTTGTGAAAGGCTATTTGCAAGGTTAGAAGATGAAGAGATGGCCCTCCAAGAGGCAGCTACCAGATCTGAACTGCCGAAATCTAGATCATCACCAGAGGACATGAAGCACAAGGGAAGAGGTTTCTGTACCTCTTTGCTGCCACCTAGGGGTCATCTGGATCCTTACATCTCTGATTTGGTACCTCTTTGCTGCCACCTAGGGGTAATCTGGATCCTTACATCTGTGATTTGGTGGACCCAGTGAAGTGGTTCTTTTCAGTGACCCTCCTGCACCCAAAGAATGTCTAGCGCTTTGCATTATGGTTTGAAAAAAGCTTCACTTTCATCTCCAACTGCAGCTCAATAATGGAGGGTGAAAGTTGTTTTTGAAAAATCCGTGGGAATGTCTTGTTCCTCTATGGTCTTCTCTATGGCTATAGTCCTTAGTTTGCAGTCGTTACCTGTAGTTGTCTGTTCCCACCATCACCATCACCACCACCTGCTTTTCTGGTGACTTACAAGGTTGTGCAATATTCAGCCTGTTTGTTACATTATTGCTCTCTGGATAAATTCATTGTCATCGAATTCATGTAAACACAGCTATACTTTTTCTCCTCAACAAAGAAAGAGTTCTGTCATCTGTCACTGATTTTTCTTTTCAAATTATATCTTACTCCGTAACTGAGGAAGTCTCGCAACTAACACACAATAGATACATTTGAAATAGGCGTGAAATCTTATCGATTTGTTTTTGGTTGATCCTGAACATCAAATGTGCAGACTCTGTAGCATAGCAATGATAGTTGTATTTCTGGGGAAACTGGAGATTGGTCACTAGGTAGCTAAGAGCCACTAAATAAAGGATCTGAAAACACTGCGACTCTTCGTTTAGTTCTTGCTTGCAACTTTCTTCTTTATGTTGTTGCTCAGCATGAACAAGTCATCTTCAACAATAATAAAAATTAATCACAATCTCGACTGAAAATAATAAATAATATGAATAATTCTTGAAAAGAATGATTATTCCGCAGAAAGGAGTGGCTATCATTTAAACCATGGTTTGCACTTCTCAACCAAAACCAGCCAAGATAATCCATGGTGTCTCTTCTGTATTTGTTCAGGTTGAAGCTTGTTTCCTTTTAAATGCATTGAGAAAAACTTGAAGAAAGACAAATGTAGACAGCTCTGTCATCTCCAATCCAGGCAGAGCCTGTTTTGCCTTAAATAGAACCTATTTAGGATAAGAAGAGGCCATCATTCAAATATTTTAGCCCCCATATTCATTCAGCCTTACCCAGAAAGGCCAGTTCAAGGAATTACATGGGTTAGGGTTAGGGTTAGGGTTAGGGTTAGGGTTAGGGTTAGGCTTTTAGATTGCCTACCATTTAGTGCAGGGGTGTCAAACTCGCATTGTGATGGTGGTATCTCGTGATGTATTGGGACTTTTTGCCCCTTCATTAAACCGTGAGTGGACATGGCCAGTGCATGACGCATGCAGCCCGCGGGCTGCGAGTTTGACAACCCTGCTTTAATGTGTGTACTGCTTTTACCATCATTTCCAATGGTACCAACAGGAAAGAGCTCTGAAATAGATGTCAAGGCAAAACAAGCAACCCAACAATTTTTTTTGGCAGGCTTACTGAGATAAAGTCATCAGCAACCATCAGGATATTTTGGTTGTGTTTGGGTTAGTATCATGGCCAATAATTGGATATTTCCATGTTGTTACTGAGATGTCACAAATGCATCCTAGCGTTAAGCAGAGCTTTTTTAATGCTTTGCTAACATAAACTGATTTGCCTATGATGACTGGAATTCTCCTTAATTGGTATATTAAAAAATATCTATCCCACCCACAGCAAATATGCCTCTGGAAAATATGGTTAATTTCCCCCAATCTTCAGTTTCTTGGGGATGGTAGTATTATTGGGTGCAACAAATATTTTTAACATGCTAAGAATATGTGTGGTTCAGTAGCAACATGGAAACTTTGGATGCAGAATATTCCAAGTTCGGTTTCTATAATAATTTGTAGGCATATTCAAGTCTCTTCTCAAATACTCAGAGAGCTATTCTCAGTTAATGTTAACCCTGGGCAAACGTGTCCTGTAAACATGGATACATTTAAGTTCTTTTTGCATTGAGGGATTTTCTAGTTATCCTGCTGAGTGAAGCCCTAAATGTAAGGTCAGATGTTTTGTTTTAATGGCATTGCTGCCTATTCTCTCAAGGCTCTCTCTCTTTTTAGGATCAGGGAAATGATCAGCCTGTAGCCACTCTGCAGCCCTCAACCTGCAACCTGCCAGATGAGTCAGTCTTGCTCCACATTCCTTGACCTGGAGTTCATCCCACAGCTGCCTGTAATCCAGTTCCACCTTTGCTGTGATTTGTTGGACTGCTGACTCCTCCAAGTAGCAACACATTCACAGCACCTCCTGGACACCTGCTACTGGCTCACATTCTGTGGCCTCATCCTGGCAGTAGCTGCTCCCTCCCCACTGCCCAGTGGAGCAACGAGCAGTAAACAGGAAGCTTGTTGCCTTGGCTGTAGCCCGCATCCCAGGCAAAAATGTGCTAGTGGCAACTGCCTGTTTGCTTAGAAATTAAAGAGTAGGTTGCTGACATGAAGAGCCGGACGGTGGGAGGGAAGCCTCAAAATAGCCCTGAGCTCATCATTCTGGCAAGTCCTTTTCTCTCTTTTTTCAGGGAAAGACCCATCTGGGACGAATAATTTTTGACCAGTCCCAAACTGTGCCTTCCAATTCGAGCTCCCACAAACAGAGTTATCCCCACCTATCTGCAGGGCCCAGCTGAGGGAAGATGCCTTACAGGATGAACCCAGGGAATGTCTGGACTTCTTTCCTGGTGAAGTCTGGGGGGGGGCCTTCTCTTGCCAAGCCAGAGCCCGGCC